TTCCCGCTCCTACTACACTGGATTCAAATACACGTGCGTACCTCAAGGCAGGTGTGTGGGGCAAGACCCGCTACTCACTCAGTCTGTCCGGCTGCAGTTAACTTCTCTAGAACGTCCTCTGGAAGGAGTTTTCTTTTCTTTGATTAAAAAAACATTTAAAAATTAATGAGCAGGGAAGGACGCGACAGCACGCCCGCCCTGCTGCTCAAGATTCCGATTCCCAGGACAGCCTTCCGCTGGACTCCCCAGCCGGGCCCCGCCCCTCGGCGCTCCCACCCCTGAGACCCTCACCCCCCAGCCCTCCCGCCCCCGGCCCCGCCCCTCCGCGCTCCACCCTGGCCCCGCCCCTCCGCGCTCCCGCCCCTGGAGCCCGCCCTGCCCGCCCCTCCGCGCTCCCGCCCCCGGGCCCCGCCCCCTCCGCGCACCCACCCCCGGGCCCCGCCCACCACGCGTCAGCGCGCGCGGCCATCGGCTCCCGAAGTACCTCACTTACCCCTCGCGGCAGCCGGGCCGGATACGGACGCCGCCTCGGCGACGCGCGGTGGCCGGGCTGTCGCGGTGGGCGGGCACGGACGGGAAGGACGCCCGGCCTCCGCCAGTCGGCCCCACCCACCCCCGCCCTCAGCCGGCGCACGGCGGCAGCGCCCCAGGCCCCCGGGACTCGGCCCCGGCCCGGGGCTCTGAGAGCGAGACGCCCCCCGCCCTCCACCCACCTTCTGTTCGATGAACAGCTCCTCGCGTCGCTTCCTCTTCTCCTTCAGCAGCGTCTTATCCCTGAAAGGGCGACACGTGAGCGGGGCGGCGCGCGCGCGCGGGGCGGGGCGGGGCGGTCCTCCCGGCCGCAGCGGGCTCTGCACCTGCGCACCGACTCCCGGACCCGCCGCTCCTCCTCTCGAGCTTCCGCCTGGGCGCTGGCGAAAGTCAGCTCCTCCGGGGCCTCGTCGTCGAGCTCGTCGTCCCCGTCCTCATCGTCGTCCTCCTCCAGCGGCTCGGCCGCCGCGCCGCTGCTGGGCTGCCCGAGCAGCAGGCCGTGCTCCGCCCCCTCCTCCTCCTCCTCCTCCTCGGAGGCGGGCTGGCCCTCGTCCACCATCGCCGACGCCGGGGTGCGGGACGCGCGCGGTCGGAGCTGCACCATGGCCCGCGCTGCGCCCGACCGTCTAGCCTCTGACCCGGAAGCAACGCGCAAGCGCCGCGTGACGTGTAAAGCAAGCGACGTGGGTTGCGTCGCGTCGCCCCCTGCGGATGCGGAGCCGGCCGCGGCGGCGGAGGCGTGTGCGCATGCGCAGAGCGGGGACGAGCGTGGCCTAAGGAGCGCAGGGGCGTGTTTCGCCCCCTCCCCTGGGTGGTTTCCCCGCGCGGGGAGCCTCCGGCTCCTCCCGTCCTGGCGGGCCAGACGCCCGGGTCGGGATGGGGCTCGCTTCCCGGAAGGGAAGGGCCACCGCGAGGCCGCCTCCACGGGGACGCTGACGGGCGGGCCTACGCGGTGCGGCCCAGTGACCCAGAAACCGGTGACCTAGCTCCGGGAGCCACGTGCTCTTGTTCCTTGTGGTTTTCAAGATTTTTATCTGTTTATTCATGCGGGACAGGGAAAGGTAGAGACACAGGCAGAGGGAGGAGCGGGCTCCATGCAGGGAGCCCGACGCGGGACTCGATCCCGGGACCTCGGGGTCACGACCTGAGCCCCCCAGGGGCCGCACCACCCGGTCTTGTTAACCTTAAAAAAGTAAGACTACCTGCTATTTTACCAGCAAAAACGGGGGGATTTCGAAAAAATAGTCGCCATCCCAGGCAAGGAAGCTGTTGGCAGCACCACAGGCAAACGAGGGACTGACTGGGCCGCCCTTCCGAAGGGCGCGCTGCCAAACCGGGGCCACTGGAGTAAACCGGGGTTAGAGGTGGACGGGCTCCTCCTCGGGTGGGAAGGAGCCTTTCCTCCTGCGGGGCAGACGCCGCGGCGCCCGCCCACGGGTCCGCCCACCCTCTGTGGATTGACGGCAAGGGGTAGGGACGCACCTGAGGGCCCAGGTCACGATCCCGGACTCCCTGCCGGGAGCCTGCTTCTCCCTCTGCCTGTGTCTCTCTGTCGAATGAATGAATGAATGAATGAATGAATGAATGAATGAAAGAAAGAAAGAAAGAAAGAAAGAAAGAAAGAAAGAAAGAAGAAAGAAAGGAAAGAAAGAAAGAAAGAAAGAAAGAAAGAAAGAAAGAAAGAAAGAAAGAAAGAAAGAAAGAAAGAAAGAAATCTTTAAAAAGTCGGGGGGGGGGGCAAGTGGTAGAGCGTGAGACCTACCCCCGCCGAACTCCCAAACTCCAGTTTAGTGAGATTGCCCCGAACCAGTATTTGTAGATTTGGCTCCTTCGCTCCTCGCGCTCCAAAGAAGAGGCATTTCGAAGGGAAAAATTGTGCTATAGCAACAGGACATGATGTTTTTCGGTCTTTCTGGCACTGATGGAAACAAGTTGACAGATGCAGGCTTCAACAAGTGCCCGGCACGAAACGTGGGCTTGGCGACCTCGGCCACCACCTGCCCCTGGACTGTGCACGCCTGTTCATCACCAACACCACTCCCTGAGAGCTAATCACCTGACTCCCACCTTAGGATATACGCCCCATGAGAAGAGGACCCTACCTGGGGCCCTGCTCTAACCCCAGGACCCGGAACGCTGGCTGGTCCAACGCAGACCCTGAACCTGAAGAATGACTTCACCGTTACTCAGTGACCGCAACCCCAGTGCTGCTTCTATCCTCCCATCCCCCAGGTAGATTTCACTTCTTGGCATGCACAGCCCTTCCTGATCTGTTTGTCTTCTCCCACCTATTATACAACATGAAATGACTCATCAGTCTCTGAACAAACCAAGCTGCTGCACACATGCAGTTGTACATGCTGTACATCCTCTGCTGACACTCCTCCACATGGAACTATTTATACGTCAAGAACTGCCACCCAGGCATCGTCTGAAAGCCTTTCAAGCACCTTAACGTCTAGCCCATGCCTGCTCCGCCATCTCTAACTGCGTTCTCCTCTGAATCTTGCACAAATTTCTTTCTTGTAGTTTTCAACATTGTAAAATAGCTTACATGGGGCACCTTGGTGGCTCAGCAGTTGAGCATCTGCCTTCGGTCCAGGGCGTGATCCTGGGGTCCCTGGATCAAGTCCCATGTCGGGCTCCCTGCCGGGAGCCTGCTTCTCCCTCTGCCTGTGTCTCTGCCTCTGCCTCTCTCTCTCATGAATAAATAAAATCTTTTTAAAAAAAAAAAAAAAGTTTACACAATAGTTGTTCCAACCACTCTGAACCCCTTGAGGGTAATGTCCATTATCTTACTGATCACTTTATTTCTAATATCTATCATAGGTCGACATTCAGTAAACATTAAATTGTCACATACAGTTTGTATTTTCAACTTTTTCATCTTCTCTAACCAAAACATGAACAAAAATGGCAGAGCACAAAAACCAACCAACCAACAAAAAAGTTGCTGGTACCAAAAGCCCAGGATGAGGAGTTGCAAAGGAACAGTTCTGAAATACTGGGGCCTTGGGCAGATGGAAAATTACAGATTAAAAATATGCTTAGACTCACCCAGACAGTATGCTGATTTTTACCAGTGTTAACACTAGCCCAGTGTTTGAATTTAACTTCGAGAAGCGCAATGATGATGGTATTTCAGGTAGAAAAACTGTATTAGAAGAGGCCCCCTCTGTGTAAGTGCCTTGACGTACTCAGCAAAAGGTGAATCAAGCCCTCAGGAGCCCTATGCCTTGTAAGTTACGAACATCCCCACTCTGCCCAGGCAAAGAACCTTTGGGATTTATTAAAAGTTGTGACTTGGGATCCCTGGGTGGCGCAGCGGTTTAGCGCCTGCCTTTGGCCCAGGGCGCGATCCTGGAGACCCGGGATCGAGTCCCACGTCGGCTCCCGGTGCATGGAGCCTGCTTCTCCCTCTGCCTGTGTCTCTGCCTCTCTCTCTCTCTCTGTGACTATCATAAATTAAAAAAAAAGGAAAAAAAAAATAAAAGTTGTGACTTGAAAAAGCAGTGCAGTTTTATGTGACCGTGTCTTGCCTACTTCGACAAAAGCCAAGGGTGTCACATTAAATGCAATTTTGTAAAGGGGCCGAGGCAAGATGTGTCATCACCCAGGGAGCCGACCTGATCCAAGGGACCCGGGTCTGTGTGGCTTCCCTACGCTGTTTACTAAAGGCCATTCCTCCCAGTCAGGCCGGACACCAGGCATTCCAAGGGCCCTGGGGGCTGCATTAGGTGGTGAGGCTTGAGCAGAGAGCTGCATTCTTACTACTTAACTCCAAGGTATTATCAGCATAATTGTTTATAAAGTGGGGGAGGAAGGGAAACCCTTCTGAATTCAGTGGGAAAGCCTGGTGGGCCTGGCAGGGACCGTATGCTTCTGTGTTTATGATATTGGGAAATAGACAACCATCACCCATCACCTCTCACTGTCCTCCGTGGCTGCTAAGGAGGCCAGCCCTCAATTTTAGGCAGCTGTGTTTATCCTTGGAGTCCATATATTTGCATCATTTATTTTCCCATCCTGATTTTCTGTCTTGATGCTCCTTTTTTCTTCCTTCCTTGCATGACTTCTCACTGTCAGCTATCCCACACACTATGTATGAGGCAATGCAGCCGAACAAGGTCAACGCTAAAAAAGGAAAAGCCTCCCACAAAGACATCTCTTGGGGGGTCAGATCTTTATACAATAAATGCCCTACTGTAGAGAGTGATTTTACTTTCCACCACAACTTGGCAAAAATCTGAAATACCAAGGTTTTACCCCTATACTTCTGCGTCCAGATCGAAACAACACAATCAGGATAATTAGTTTTTTCAAAAGATAATCTAATCACAAAATGTTTCCAATAGCCAACCAAACACATAGGAGAGATTTTATGTTTAAGTTCACATGAAAGAACATGCATTAACCTGGCTGTTCTCTGACTTCTCCTAAGAGTGTTTGCTATTGTTGCTTTACTTAGCATCAGGTGGGATTCCAGCCAGGGAATCTGATGGTATTTCTAGATTTTCCAGTATTTAGCTCACGGTCCCCATGATCAGTTCTCTGTGTGTGGCCCAAGTACTTAGACATACTACAATTTCTTCTTTCCCCAGGACAACTAAGAAACATTGCCAGTTTCATGAGGAGCCAGGGCTTCAGGAAGAGTGGTACCACATGGCCCCTGGAAATGAAACCTGAAAGAGGACAAATAAGCAGTTAGAAAAATGAACGTACTACCTTGGCGAGTCCCACGTGTCTCAGTTACATCCAAAGCAAAATCCAAATGCTCACCGATACAGTATTATGAGCTTTGTTCCCACAGTTTTCATCTAGTTTCTGACAACTCTAGATGTAGATATTTCACTACGGGTTGGTTCTGGTGTTTGAGGGAATTTAGGAAAGCAATTGCCTAGAATTTAGGTGCCATACACAAGAATTTTATTTAAGGGGGAGCAGAGCCATAATTGTAAGATTCATTTTGTGACTGTATGGCCAACCTTGTAACTGAAGCTGTAAGTTTTCCAAAATCTATATATTACATTAGAACAGCATTCTCATGCGCTGAGGACACAAGAAAAATAATCTCATGCACCAAACATACCATGTACATTTTAGCTGAATGAACAGGGACTCTTAAGCCATCTGTTGTTTTTGTTTTTTTTTTCCCAAGATTTTATTTATTTATTCATGAGAGAGACAGAGAGAGGCAGAAACAGGCAGAGAGAGAAGCAGACTTCCTGCAGGGAGCATAACTCGAGACTGGATCCCAGGACCCTGGGATTATAACCTGAGCTAAAGGCAGACACTCAACCACTGAGCCACCCAGGTATCCCCCATCTGTTGGGCTTTATGAATGACTTACAGTCAGAAAGTAGAAAAGACCAAAGGGGACGGAAAAAAAAGAAAAATTAATAATTGTTGCTTCCTTCAAGGAAAAACACAACAGGGACCAAAAAAAAAAAAAAAAAAAAAAAAAGCCAAACTCTGAATGCAGGATTCAAAGGATACTATGAAAGCAGGATTTTTCTAGTGATTTCAATATTCATATTGTAGATTCTTGACACAACACAGATCATGAACACCTAAGACCTCAAATACTCTTCTCTCTGGATAAAGTGCCACTAATGGACATCCCCAACCAACCAACTCTTCTGCTATCTATGGTACGTTCAACACTGGCTACCAGAAAACTAGTCTCCTGCACAGTGAGAGCCCCTTGGGGACTTCCCCAAAATTATAGCCAGTCACAGAGAACTTTTAGGGAATTCCCAGAGGTCAGCTTTCCTCCCTAAGAAAGTGACTTCTGAGTGTTCCTTTCCATGTGCATCCTTCTTCCACTTTACAAGAGCAAACCATACCTCTCCCCTATATCTTACAATGATGCCTTAAAGCAGAATGTGAAAATGTACGGGGAGTCAGATCAAGGGACGTTTGAAACGTTGGTGTAAACCTCAGCAAATAAACAGGTTCGAGAGAGTGGGTGACAATGCATCTGTAGGCAAGTAGGGCAATTTCATTCTTGATTTTAATAAAAGAGAAAGTGGGTCTGGTCTGATAAGACTGTCCATGAACAGATCACAAAATGTGATACAAAACTACTCTGTGTGTTTTAGCATATAACTTGAAAAGAGACCCAAAACCTGGGTGGCAATGCCATAATAAAATTCCTTTCCTGCCTTGGGAATTGTGTGGCTCACATTCTCCGGACCAATGTCTATAAAAAGTAAAAGCTAAGAATTATAATTGATGTTGGGAAGATGAAATTTAGCTTGGCCAGTAATAATCTAGCCTGCCCTCCCTTGGACCAGGTAGACTAGGAGACACAGATAGAGCCAACTGCAAATAGGAAACAGTATTTCTTTCCCCAGGATGAGCTCTGAAGTATCATAACAACCCCATCTTTGAGTGACTACTGCTTTTTTACTCACGGAGAAATTTTCTCTAATATCATAAAGTATCAGAAACTGCTTTTAGAAATTACAGCAGTGAAAGATAAATGTGCTTGGAGAACCCACATCACTTTGCGGCCGAGCAGCAACCTTGATTTCTAACCCTGGGGCAGAGCTTCACACAGGCGTGTCTGGGCACAGTGTTGCACATCCACCTTCGATGTGCGGTCTCCAGGGAAACAAGACCCTGCACTGCCAGCCAGACTGCACTGGACTCCCACACAGTACTGCTTGCTGTTCAGTCTCCCAAAAATGGCTTCCTTTAAATTTCACCTAAATTCCACCTTCCCTCCAAATCCTATAAGAGCACCTTTTCCTACATTTGGGGACACACACCATGTTCCTCTGGGATGCAGCTTCCCTCATTTACAGGGAGCTAGGGTAGACCTGATCTGGTGACTGCAGGTGGACTGGGCTAGAACCACGTGAACTCTGTCTCCTTCCAACACTCATCCAGGGACACACAAAGTAATCTGAAAAATTCACGGCCTGTGCATCTATTAAGAGATGCATTTGCAATACATTTGCACTTTTATGGAATTATTAACCAGAATTTACCATTCACTTGTCGTCAACAGTCATACCACAAATTACTAATAAGTGACAGTTCAATCTGGAGGAATTCTTTTAATAAAACATTTTTTAAATTTTAAGGAAATTGAAAACTGACTCATACCATATTTTGCTACAGAAATATAATAGGGTAGTCAACAAAACATTCTTAGGCATAAAAATAAATTACACAAATATAAATTTGTTATGAAAGTAGATGGAAATACATGTTCAAGGAGGAAAAAACATGAAGGCTGTTAAAAAAGGTTTGTGTATTGGGACACCTGGGTGGCTCAGCGGTTGCATGTCTGCCTTTGGCTCAGGGCATGATCCCAGGATCCAGAATCCGGGATCGAGTCCCACACTGGGTTCCCTGCAAGGAGCCTCCTCCCTCTGCCTATGTCTCTGCCTCTCTCTCTCTTTGCCTCTCATGAATAAATAAATAAACCTTTTTTTAAAAAAAAGAGTTTGTGTATGTATTTTGTAAATACATGATGATAAGTATCGAGTAGTTGTGACATTCACAATGGATTTATTTAAAACCATAATGGTGGTTTTATTATAAAAAGTCAATATTTTATTTCCAGGACACTTGGAATCACATCTTTCTCAACCATTTCTATATAAAATTTTAGATGTGAAATTTAAAAATGTGAAAGACGTACATGAACAAAAGTTCTTGAGGACTTCTGTTCTCAAAAGACTGTGTAGCACACAGCACCCCACTCCCCAACAGCAGGTGACTCAGGACCACTGGGTTTACTCATGTCACTGCTATTGGTTAATGTAATTATCTAATTTAAATAAAAGTTATGCAACAGGGCATCCCGGGTGGCTCAGCGGTTTAGCGCCGCCTCCACCCCAGGGCCTGATCCTGGAGACCTGGGATTGATTGAGTCCCACATCGGGCTCCCTGCATGGAGCCTGCTTCTCCCTCTGCTTGTGTCTCTGCCCCCCTCTCTCTCTCTCTCTCTCTCTCACTCTTTCTGTCTCTCATGAATAAATAAAATCTTTAAAAATCTTTAAAATCTTTAAAAAAATGCAACAAACTCCAAAAAAATACAGTTGTTATAAGAGGCTTACTCCTAAGAACATCTGATGTATGCTTTGGAAAGGCATGGCAGGTCACTAAAAATAATTCTATTTAATTAGTGTAGGTGGGAAAGACTAGGGGGAAGGATGCTTCATAAATTTCTTTTCATAACTTCTTGTTGCACTTTAAAAGAGAAAAAAAAAAGGCAGAAAAGTATCCAAACCACAGTTTGTAATCCAGTAATTCCCCACAACTCCCAGATGATACACCTGGGCCACTGGTCAAATATACTAACAGTCCTCCTCGAGCCCTGAAATAACTGATCAGAAAGTCTAGACTAGTACCTTGGGATCTGATTTTCTTTTTCTTTCTTCTTTCTTTCTTTCTTTCTTCTTTCTTTCTTTCTTTCTTTCTTTCTTTCTTTCTTTTTTCTTTCTTTCTCTCTTTCTCTTTTCTTTCTCTCCCTTTCTCTTTCTTTTTCTTTTCTTCTTTCTCTTTCTTTCTTTCTTACTTTCTGTCTTTTCTTTTCTTTTCTTTTCTTTTTCTTCCTTCCTTCCTTACTCCCTTCCTCTTCTTTCTTCCTTTCCTTCCCTTTCCCTTTTTCCCTTTCCCTTTTTCCCTCTTCTTTCTTTTCTTTCTCTCTCTCTCTCTCTCTCTCTCTCTTCTTTCTTTCTTTCTTGGTTGGTTGTCTGTCTGTCTGTCTTTTCTCCTTTACAAAATAAGGGCTGAGGTGATTTTTATCTTCAGGGGCATGTGGGAACACCAGAAGAATTAGGAGCATGATCTATGCACAACAGGCAACCTGCATAATCTGGCAGGTCCCTACTCACAGAAAAGGCCTTCAGCTAGATCAAACAAAGCAAAGCAAAATAAATGAATGCAGTTTTGTTAGAAGTGAAAATATTTTTAAATAAATAAAATATTCTTACATTATCTTTAAGTGGATTTTGTTAAGGCCTATGTGTCCTTACACCTACCCTTTGACAGTCCAGCCAGGTAGGGCCCTGGACTTCCTATAACTGGTCAACCATAAGTTAAAAGTAAACTCCTGACCCTCTTGCTGAGCAAATACATAATTAAATCAATCTATAAAACAATTTTCTAGCTGAAAACCCCTTACAAACTCCACTGGCTGTCGCTTTCTTTGGGGGCACTTCTTCCCCCTGCAGAAACATGGTACTTCCTGACCAACTGACTGGCCTCTCTCCCTCCCTCCTGCTACACCATCCACACTGACCTCCAGTGCTTGCTTCGGCAGCACATATACACACTGACCTCCAGTGCTGTCCCTTGCACCTCCCAGGTGTGCTGTGGCTTGGGGAGAGTGGAGAGTGGGAAGGGCTCTACTCCAGACAGTCCTGTGTCTGGAAGGATTTTTTTTTTAAAGATTTTATTTATTTATTCATGAGGACACAGAGAGAGGCAGAGACATAGGAAGAAAGAGAGTCAGGCTCCCTGTGGGGAGCCCAATGCAGGACTTGATCCCAGGACCCAGGGATCAAGACCTGAGCTGAAGGCAGATGCTCAACCACTGAGCTACTCAGGTGTTCCAAAAACTCTGTGTCTGGAAAGCTCTTAGCCAGACAATCTCCTTAGCCAACTAAATCCTTTACGTCCTTCAAGTACACTCAGACATCTTCTCAGTGGGACTTACCCTAAT